AAATAAAACAATTAGCTTTAGTAAATGTGAGTGAACACACTGAAAAAAATTTGGCTGACATAATATGTTAATTAGTTTTAAGATAAATTTTCCTGTGACAAGTACCTGGCTAGAAATTCCAGTGTATATAGTAGACAGTCAGCTACTTAATGAGGGGTCAGCCTGGAAGGCCCCTGTTCCTGGCAGTTCCTGCCTCCCTTTCGGCTCTAGGCTTGAGTGTAAAAACTTTTGCTCAGTAGTTTTCAAACTTTTGATAACAGTCAACAACTTGCAAATGAGTCAATATCATGGATGTCATGACAGATATATAGGGGAGTATTTGCCATAAACTAATTTCATCTCACTGTTCTGGTCAAAGATGGCAATTAAACATGACTTTTTCACCTCTGTGCATACAAATATATAGAATGCAACTTGCTGCCTGGTTAAGTTTTCCCTCTTAGTTAATTTTGTTCATACACACTGTGTATACAGAATTTCAGTTTTATGTCTGGCTCCTTACAGGAAGTTTAATGGTGAACAAGTTTAAATCAAATATACCCCTGTGATCACATACTTGGGATATGAATAAGAATAAGCTTATTATTTGTTGAAAATAGTTAAATAATGTAAGTTTTTACAAGCACAAGTGCTATTACCAACCTATTTTCTCTTTCCTTTAAATACTGGTGTTGCTATTTTTGCTTCCACTGATTGCTTTGTTCCATTTAGATCTGTGACAAACTAAAATATTTGGTCTTTCAGTTGCAGGTAGTTCATATGAACTATGGTGACAATGTATAGTACATTCACATTTCCTCCAATAAATATTCAAAGATATAGTATTTTTAAATGATCATTGCAGAATAGACTTTTCAAAGATTGGTGATTTATTTATGTGTGTATATGTAAATAAGTGTGTGGGAGGAATCATGAGTTTCTCCCTGTAAATTTAAAAATTACTTGGTTATCTATTTCCCTCATTGAGGAGACAAGAAACAAAAAGAAAGGAGAATAGGAAGACCATACCATTTAATGTCCATTCATAATTTGAGAATAGCTAACATGGGAAACAATTTTTAATGGAAATAATGTATTTTATTAAAGTTTTCTTTTCATTTCTTCCAAAATACTGCAGTGGATTTGAACTAAGTCTTTAAGAACTGCTGAAGAATCCCAGCTATAACTCACTAGAGTACAGGATGAAAAATAATGTTTTAGCTGAAGGTCTTTATGTCTTTTAAAATGCAAATACCTCTCCTTTTGTCTGCAATCAGTCATTTATACATTAATGTGAGTGAATTTATTAGACATCTCTCTCAGGTTAATTTAGAAGAGCGGTTGGTACAGATGAACTCAGAAGCTGCAGAGACATGGGAAGATTAAGTATTAAGGCCAGGACATGGAAGATAATATGGCCTGCTTTATAGTTGTTACTTAAAGGCAGCATTGTCTGTGTTTAATACACTCATTTGTATCTATAAACACACATAAAGAGAATGTGTGCTTAATGAGGAGAATTTGTGTGCATGCTTCAGAATTGTATCCAAATAGTTCACTGTGTCTCAATGGAATGATAATATAATTAAGCAAATTACTTATAATTTTGTTCAACTCTGAATTAAGTCAGCAGTAGAATTCCCAACCAGAACACTGACTGAAAATATTTTGATCTCATGGGTGTTCTCAAAGACTGCAAGCAAGGCAACAGCCTGGCATCTCCTGTCCTGGGCAGCCATAAGGAAGAATTCTAGGCTTCATGAACCAAATCCAGTCTTTCACTTTGGTTTTATGACAGTTTTTTAAATGTGTTTTAAATATGTGCAACCCTTTTCTCAATTCTTTTTATTAAGAAGTATTTTACATATATTATACAAACTTAGTGATACACTTCTTTACGCCTCCTAGTAACCAAAACTCTTTCCAAAGTTTAAAAACAAACAATGAACCAAGCATCACTTCCCAAAAAAATACAGTAAAACCCACCTGACACTTCTAATCCATTTGTACAGAGAGGAGCCTGGGAGGCAGCAGGATACATTATAATGAAGTGTTTCCCAATTACCAGTTTTCTACTGCTTCACTTAGGTATTATAGAAGTATAGAAATTGTTGATCTGGCTTCAAAATATCACCATATCTAAAGATAACACTGACTGCTGTCCATACATCACTGTATCTCTTAAACCTCAGTGAGGAAGGTTCTTTTTGTGGTAAATGATGATGAACACAAAGGTGGAGAGGAAAAGTGATGGCAGAATTCTCATCCCTAAATGGAACATCTGTATCACCTCCACTTCTTTCCGGGTCTCAGCTATCATTGAATCACAGAAGGTTATGGAACAAAAGATGTAAGAGCCAAAGATGGTGGTTGACTACAAAGAAACAATGTTGTTTAGAAATAAATGCACTCATAGGGGCTGTGACAGTGTGCTCAAGCCAGATAAATTACCTATATGGAGGGGGAAGGTAGGCATGGAGCCCCACCCCTCACTGAGTAATTATTATTGATAAGTGATAGTACAAGGAGAGAGATAGACAGCCTTCTACAAGAGGCTGACCATAGGTCTAACACACTCCAGTGGATGACCATACAGCTAAGATAATATAGGCAACACCACCAAGAATTTTTAACAGGGTTTTAAGAATAATGAGGACACAAAGTTGGAATTAGAGGTGGATCTGTAAGATGTGAGAGAGGATGAAAACAAAATGATAAATTCTGAAGGTGTTCATAAAAGAAAATTTAAAAAGCACATAACGACAGCATCCGTAGTGTCTTTGACACTTAATATCTCAGCTGCTTCTGTTTCAAGAAGTTAAAGAAAATAAAGTAATAGAAATATTACTATTCAGGAAAGGGACACATATGACTATTTTTATTGTATGTTTATTTTTTCACATTAAGCATAACACTTAGGAAGTCATAGGATAAATGTTAAACCCAAACCTAGGAGGATTTTGAGTCATGTTTGGTTACAGAGCTGCAAAATACATCAAAATGACAATTTTTACTTTCTAAAATCAGCATAAAGAAAAGACTATAGTAATTGGTTTTTAATTATTCAGTTGAAAGGTTTGTCTGGAAATGCAACTAGGTCAGGACTATAAACACAGTAAGCACAGTGAGGTAACAAAAGGAGCAGACAGGCGAGCGTGATCAATCTTTTACATGCTTCTCTTATCACTAAGATGAAAAGGGTCAATAACTGCAATATGAAAATGTATTTCTCTAAGCTACAATCTCATGTGTACCCACTCTCCTTTCTCCTCATGTATGAGTAATAGTTCCACAATAGGCTTTATTTCAAGCTCACTATCTTAAAGTAAAAGTTTATGGTGGGCAGTTATGAAGCCAAGGAAACAGTAGGTGTCCAGCAGATCTATGAAGAGTGTTAGAGGCATATCTTTTCACATGTTTGCCTGGGAAGAGCATAGGCACGAGCCTTAAAATTCACAGAGCTCAGTGGTGAAAGAAGTTGTCAGCCAAGGTACTGAAAATCAACTTGAGTAAATGCTAGGAATAGAGAAGTGGCAAGAACATACTATTTACTGGAGTATAATAACAGACTAGAATGAAATCTGAAGAAATCCCTGCATATATAAAATACATGCATAACAAAAGTATCTGTTACTTAAAAAAATGAATGCATTGTACTATATAATAACACATAATTTGGATAATTAGAAGGTTTTTGTTTTTAGCTTGATCTTACTAAGGTCCCAAGATAATTCTAATAACTAGAATTTTTTCTAATAATCATAACAACCTACTCATATTTAGATTGGTATTTAGTATAAATGCAATATTTATGCCAAAATTTATATAAAATAATAATTATACATATTTTCTACTAGAAAAAGTTGCAGATTTTTCTGTATATTTATTCTTCAAAATTACATTTTATGTCATTTTTTTATAGTTGTACTGTACCTTATTATAGAATGTTTTAATTGGTTTGTTGCTCAAAATTCCTGTCACTAGTTATGTTAAGATTGCTTATGGAGGATATATAACACTCATTCCTTCAACCTTTGGCACATTGTGATAATAAGTTTCTTTTCACAGAAGACATTGTCTAAAGCTTAAATGAGAGCCAGCTATTGAAGAAACTATCAAATCTACCAATGATTTCAAATGTTATTGATTGACATATATTGAGACTTTAATGCTAAAACCTTTTCACATTTTGCTTTCATTATACTGAAATAGGGTTTGTATTTATTTGATAGGGTCTGATACTATAGAACCCACTATTCATCCATAGGTGGGTTCGAAATCATGGTAATCCTCCTGCTTTAGCTACCAGAGTTACAAATTTGCATTTGGGGGAGTATTCATGACTGTATTAACAAGCTTACTTTGTGCTTAGTGCTGTTAATAATATTAGGTATGCTTTTCAGTTAAAAATATTACAGTTTCTTATGCATAAACTATGGAGACTACCTCCACTTTGTGTCTTTGATTATAACATCTATGAAGAATTAGTTGTCATGTCACAAAGGAAACTATGTTATAATGGGGTTGAAGGATATATTCATATAGCCATGGATTCCTTACTCCCTGTTTCTTGGTCTTTTAATGGTTGATATGAACTTTCTGAAAAACAGCAGCAGATAAAAATATATTGTGTGGTATCAAAGCATTCTCATATACATGTTACGTGGAATGGAAACTTAATATAGGAAAATTTGAATAGTATATCTTGACTGAAGAGACAATAGTAAAGACTTATAAAATAGCTGGGTCCTTGGCACAGCCACTTCAACAGTGACTAGGATAAACCCATTCCAAAAAGCCTCAGTATAAGATACTCTGTATTTTACTTCTACATTTCTTTTCTGTGGGGAAAAAAAAAAAACTCTCACCAAAAAAGACTAGGAAAGAGGTAAAACATAAATAATATATATGCTTTTAGATCCATTGTAATTTAATTATATATATGGATCTGAAGGCTTTTCTTTAATGTAGCCTTTGGATCAGAATATTAAGCAACTTAGTATATAATCTTGGAATTTTACCTTGACTTGCAAACTTCAGCTCTTTGGCATCCGTGAGTGTGGGTCTTTTTTCAGAGCCTTTTTTCTCGATCCGTCGATGACTTCTCTTTTTTTTAGATTCTCCCCAAAGATTAGATCCTCCATGCATGCTTGGGATATTCAAAATTGCAATTCCTTCCAGAGAGATGTTTATTAAGTCTATCTGTACTCCATCACACTGGAGAGAGGAACAGAGAGAGAGAGAGAGAGAGGGAGAGGTATTTCATTTCTTTTTGATTGCTTGTTTACTTGCTTGCCTTTTAATAAATCTATTTAAATTCATCTAAATTCAAAGAAAAAAATGCAGGAACATTAACCAGCGACCATTTATAATTATTTCAAATGGTCAAACCACGTCAGCAATGTGTCCTAATTTATAGAAAGCTTTTGGCAGAGAAACTTGCTCATGTTTTCTTTAAATACAATTGCAAATTGTGGGCCAAGAAGGTAAGCTTAGGAATGCAGAAATTATGATCTTGCTTCTTTTGAATGATGAATTTGAACTTGTGATCTTCCTGCCTCTATGCTTCCCTTGGTTTCCTTTCCTTTTATTTTCCTTCTTTCCTTCCATTCTTTTTTCTGTCACAGAGTGAAATGGCTTGATTCATGAAGAAAAAATTGAGGCTAGTACAAAAATGTGGTTACAGAGACCCCCACACACACATTACACACACACACACACACACACACACACACAAACTATTAGTATGAGTGCATGTGCCCATGGAGTTCAGACTGTGTGGCCGAGTTCCAAATGCTTGTGACCTGAGTAACATGGGTGCCAGAAGTCTAATTCCAGGTCTCTGGAAGAACAGTATGGGGTCTTAATCACTGAGATACGTCTCCAACCCCCTCTTCTGAAGTTTTTAAGATATAACTTTATATTTTCAAAACGACAGTCATTATAACTATGTCAAAAAATATTCTTCCACTTTCCATTATAAATTGAGAAGAGAAGAGAACAGAAGAGAAAAGATGCAATTTGAAATTCTTTTCAATGCATCCTGTTAGCGAAAAGCCTTTAATTTGTCTCTAACAATATCTCACCAAAGGGCTGCTACAGCCACCATATCCCACTTAAGTCATCACAAACTTAAACACTAATTCCCCTGGAATTTGTGATACCACAGAAACTGCAACAAAACAAATGGAATCCTGTTTTTTTCCCACATTTGCCTCAACTTTCTGAAGCTAGGGCAGCATCATGTTCACCAAAGGAACAATGAAATGAGATAAAGTGACATATCTTGAACCCACTCTGTAAGGGAAGAAACAATATTGGAGAAAGCATTAAATTCTCATTCAGTTTGTTTCACTAAAGAGGGTCCAGCTCTGGATGATATGATTCATTTTTTCCAAAAACAAGTGTTTTTCCTTCCTTTGACATAGTAAATTAAGATCATTTCTTTTTACTAAAGAATTCTGCTCCTGTGTATACTCACTCACCACTATATATTCTAGATAAACAGATATTAATTTCATAATTAAAAGTAATCTTGTGTAAATACCCTGCAGGCCTCAATGAATCAAACACATACTGTGTGTCAGGCCTCCCACTGTCTTCAAGTGGAACGCACTGGCTGGATAATTAGATAGTACATATTTTTTAACCTTATTTGCATGCATATTATATCTTTTGCACACTGACAAGCAGCAGTAACAACAAAAGTCAGATTACCACAGGGAATTCCCACAAAGAAGTCTTCATTCCTTATAATTTGCAGCCTAAATTAAAATAATTTGATCTTTGACAAGGATGAAATGTCAAGCAGAAGGGGGTCCTCTACAAGCCACGGCCTGTGGCTTCTGAAAACTGCCTAATTTATGTCAGTCACTTCTTAATACATATTTAAGTATTACACGAAAAAGATGATAAATATGCAATCTGACACCTTTGGTATTTCCCTGCTGTTAATTTATAAAGGTCTGGCTTCCCCCAAACTGACTAAAATCATTTAAATAACACAAGAATTGTGAAATAAGCTGGAGCTGGGGCCTGGCTTCCATTTCCACTCGATATTGAACACAGCAGGTAGTACACTAAGACAATTATGTGACTAGGCCTTAGGACCCTGCTGTGACAAGTTACTTTCCGAATTAGTGAAGGAGGATTCCTTTGTTCATCTGTAGAAAGGAGAGCATGCTGCAAGGTCTTTCTTCTGCCTAATTGAACAAATGGAGTTAGGTGAGACAATGGAGACACACTAGCATCTTCACTGTCAATGCCACTTGTGGTTTGAAAGAAAGGAGTTAGTCATTCTCTGACAAAGGGGTGGGGGGGGATAGGGGTGGTTGGGGGGTAGGGAGTGGGGGTAGGGACCAACAACCAGCACCTCTCAAGGAGTCCTAAAGCACAAGGAGTGATGGAGAGTGCAGTTGCTCTTCCAAGTGCAGGACAATGTATTTACATAAATTGGTGTCTATGAATGGTTTAGTTTCACTAGCTCTCAATTCTAGGCCACTTTCCTGTTTGCTTTGACATCATGTTCATTAGTCTGGAAAGCTCCATGCTGGTGCTGACAGGCCAGGAGTTGCAGCTCACCAATTGAGTTTGTGAAAATGAAGCTGAGGTGAAGGCTATGAATGTAAACAAAGAATAAGTCCATGTTGGGTAATGTTCTCATATGTTTTGAAGATTTATGATTTTGTGAAAAGTAGGTACGGGGGGGGGGGAGTAAAAACTTAAAAGCCAAGAGCCTCAGTCGTGAATTCTGAATAATGTTGATAAGTATAACATCCACTGTGGAGGGAGCTCATATAGAGTGTCACTGTGCAGCCACTGTAGAGATATTATTTCCAACACAAAGTACCTAAAAGAACAATTACACTTTTTTTTTTTCTGACAGTACATATTTAACCTTAGATCGGAGAACTGGGAGTACAGATTTTAAATTTGATGAGATATAATCAATGATTTTATTTTTTCTAAAATGAGTGAGCTTTTATGCCTGTGTCAGTTAAAGTTATTAATAATTTTACTCGATGAAGCATAAAACATTGACAGGCAATCTTAGCGTTAAGAAAGGACGGCTGAGACTACTATGTGCAGCAGCCTAATGCTTTTAAAAATTCTGTTTCCCAGGTTAATCAATAAGTCCTACAGTTGATTTTATACCCATGAGGCTCTTGCATTTGTTAATTCTTGATATTACTGAATTATTTTTGAAAAAAAAATCTCAGTATTTGGGGATAAAAACCAAAATTATTGACTTTAACATTTACAACCTTCCTGGTCCCACTAACACCCAAAATACTGAATGACATTGGCACATGGAAAAAAATAGAAAACCTGTGTGCCTGATTGCTCTAATCTCAGGCATCAACCTGAGGTTGTTAGATACCTTTTACCCTCCTTCAAAAGCAAAAAACTTTGTTTTTGACATCTTTTCTTAAAATTTTGAAACTTTTTGTTTTATTTATATTTTTGCCTTCTATAATAAATTTAGGAGATACCTGAGATTCTTAAAATTTCTACAAGAATGAACCCAACTAATAATCTAAGCAATAGTGGAGAGACTACCTTTAATGCCCTTCCATGATAATGAGATTGATGACTACCTTATATGCCATCCTAGAGCCTTCATCTAGTAGCTGATGGAAGCAGAAGCAGATAACCACAGCTAAACACTTAGCCAAACTCCTGGAATCCAGTTACAGAGAGGAAGGAGTAATTAGCAAAGGGGTCAAGACCATGCAGGAGAAACCCACAGAAAGAGCTGACCCGAATAAGGGGGAGCACATAGATCCCAGTCTGCTATCTGGGAAACCAGCATAGGACTGACCCAGACCCCCTGAATATGGGTGTTTGTTAGGAGGACTAGGCAGTCCATGAGGCCTCCCATAATGGATCAGTATTTATCCCTAGTATATGAATGGACGTTGGGAGCCCATCTCACATAGAGGGATAACTTCTCAGCCTAGACACTTTGGGGAGGACCTAAGCCTTGCCCCAAATGATATGACAGACTTTGAAGATCCCCATGGAAGGCCTCATCCTCCCTGGGGAGCAAAAATGGGATGAGATGGGGTTTGGTGTGGATGATAGGGAGGAGGGGAGGGTGAGGGAACTGGGATTGACATGTAAAAAAACAAAACAAAAAACTTTGTATCAAATTTAAATAAAAAAAGGAAAAATATTAAAACTACCAGTGTTTAAATCACTTCCTCACCTTCTTCATTTACATGCATGTAGCACTGATTTGTTTAATTGCTCTGGCAATAATGTAATTATTTTTCTTCTAAATTATTAAAAATATTTAACTGTGCAATGAAGATTTTGCAGTATATCTTTGATTTATACTGTGTGTATAAAGATTATACCAGATAATGCAGGTGCATTGCTTAGTACCAGACATAAGGTATATTTTAATAATACATATATTTTAGCAGTGATTATGGAACACTTTCCTGGGATATTTATGTTGTCCCAAACATTTCCTCCTTTCAGAAGGAGCTCCCTGCAGGAGAGAGCATTGTGACATAAACATACCCACAGAAAATGACTTGTTTTTGAAGGAGCTGCCAGTAAAACATGTAACCATTGCTTGAGGTTCTGTTGTTACTACCATGGTTTATTCCTCATTAGACATTTTTCAAACCATAGTTGGTATGATTTTAAGCCACATAGGAAGCAATAGCAAGCAGAATCAAATTTCCGAACTGCTGATTTCTTATATTTAATTATGAAGTAACCTTGAGGGTAGAAAGTCATATTTTGCTAATATGATAGACTGGATTCATTAAAATGTGAGGAGAAAGGCACGTTTGGCATTGCTATCCACACACACACACACACACACACACACACACACACACACATGCACACACACTCACACACACACAATATACAATGATATGATGGAGAGAACACAGTACTGAGTCCAATTTCTAGACGCTATATTAGTGGTTCGTGGAGTAAGAAATGCAGAACCAGAAAACATGGAAAAGCAGAACCCAGGGCTAAATAACTTAGTTCCAGTCCAGATTTCTTGAGGGGTCTCTTGCACAGTCACTGTTCTGGTAAGATGGAAAGCATCATGAAACAACAGCACTCATTTAGTTGTATTTAGAACTTTAAAAAAAATCAATGTTTTCTACAACTGTTTTCGTCAAATACTCATCGCTATTTGATGGAAAATTTTGTCCTTTGTGACACATGTAGCTTTGCTCTATGGACTGATAACCTTCACTCTGCTCAGGGAGAGGCACCAAGGAGCAGAAACAGGAAGGCTAATTATATTACAGAAAGTATGGGTTTGTCTTCTGTCACAGGTTTTCTTTGAGCATGGTTTTCTTTTTGAGAAAAAAAATAAAAAACAAACAACAAAAAAACACTGTTTAGAATCTAAAATAAAAGGAAGTTATATGAAATTGAGAATTAAAAATTAAAGTGATAGTATAATTTAAAAATAAATTTATGTGTACATCTGAAATGGCTACATATCTAATGATATATTAAGAGCCGGTGAAATGGATCAGTAGGCAAAGTGCTTGCTTCATAAGCATGAGTTTGGGTTCCCTGTACCCATAGGATAAGCCTGATGCATTGTATATCCTTTTGTTCCGGGGGCTGCAGAGGCAGAGCCTAGCAGAAATCTAAAGTTGACTGGCCTGAAATTCTGGTTCTTTCTCAGTAAAATAAGATGGACAAAGGGTGACTCTCTATGTCATCCTATGGCTTTCAAATACATATGCAAATACACATGGACATATACATGAACAAGTATACATACAAACCATACACACAAAACAATAAAACACAAACTAATCCTTTTTTTCTTTTTAATTGCTGTTGTATTGGTTTTGTTGTTATTGTTTTGTTTTTGTGTTTGTTTTTTGAGACAGGGTTTCTCTGTGAAAGAGTCCTGGATGTCCTGAAACTCACTCATAGACCAGGCTGGCCTTGAATTCACAGAGATTCTTCTGCCTCTGCCTCCCCAGTGCTGGGATTAAAGGCATGTACTGCCACTACCGGGCACATAAAGGACTTTAGTAGTCATACAAAATAAAAATTTTCTTTAGTCTTTAAAAATCCGTCAATATATCATTCCCTTTTTGGAGTATGTCCTAAAACTTTTTGAGTCCTACAAAGTCCAGATATTTTTAGTAGATCTATTTGTTCAAGATCTTTCTGAAGTGTCTTTTCTTATCTTTTCTCTTTTTCTTGGGGCTTCCACATCCTATACCTGTAATGGGGAATAGCAACCTTCTGAACTGAGAAACCTAGCTAATGATTGAATAGAATGGGAAAGGATATATTTTAACATTTATCTGTGAAAGTAAGGAGACTTTTAGTGCACTACGTTTTAAATATATGAGATAATAATTCCTGAACATGTTAAGTTGGTTTTTTGCAATTTTTTCATTTTCAACCATATTTTTAATTTGGTATCTTTTTCTCCATGCTATGCACAGTAAACTCTGCTTTCTAAATCTGTATTCCATATCTTTTTAATATGATCTTAAACAACCCGTATCCATACTTAAGTTTGATTTCAGATAGTGATACATCCACTATGAGTGACAAATGTCATATTTTAGAATATTGAGTAAACCTATATCAATTTCTAAAAGTGTATTTCTTAATAGGGACCATACCACAACACCAATAAAGCAAACACAAGACACTTTATGCTACTACAAAAGTAAATCAAGCTTTTTTTTTTTTTTTTTTCTTACTTCTATTTCTACAGATTCATGTAGCTTCTTGCAGGTGGCTGAGAAGGTTTCAGATGTTCCAAACTCAAAATACCAAAATTTGTTCTTCATTCTGCAAAAAAGGAAAGAAATAGCTTACACAGTCATCATATACAAAAGAATTGAAAAACCTATCTAACTCTCTTCTATCTTTGTTAGGGTTTGCATTGCTGTAATAAAATACCAGGACTTTAATCGGGGACAGGAACTCAGTGTGGGAGGCAGGAACAGAAACAGAAGCTGGCTTAATGTCTTGCTCTCTATGGCTTGACCAGCCTGTTTTTTTTTTTTTTTTTTTTTTTTTTTGTTTGTTTGTTTGTTTGTTTGCTTTTGTTTTTTGTTTTTTGTTTTTACTCCAGGACCACTTTTCTCTGAATTGGCACTTGGTACCACTCACAATGGTCTAGGTCATATCACAACACATCCATCCTGTTTAAGAAAACTTGCTACAGACTTGCTTATAGGAATATGTTATGGAGAATCCCAATTAAGAGTTCCTCTTCTTAAATAACTCTAGCTTGTGTCAAGTTGACAAAAACTAATCAATACTTGAATCTTATAAAAATTAACAGGCAAATTTGAGGACATGTAATATCAAAAATGCAGTGGATAATCACATGATTTCAAAGCTCTTGTGTTAGTATCAAACAGCATGACAACCCCTGTAGTGATTACAGAGATGTGCTGATTTTACAGAGACATGCATATTTTTGACTTTTGTATCTGTTGGTAGATCTGATGTTTAAAAATGGTCTTAATATTTAAAATTCTTGTGTCTTAAGTAACTTGATTTTGAAGTTTCAAATCTATAGCAATAAAGAGAAGAAAACAGCAATGCTCTGAAATTTTCATGGGAGAAAAGAAACAAATATACAATAGCTTAAAATGTATATAGCTAGCAATGTGTTCTTTACATATGTAAAGGATTGAAAGCATATTTAAAAAAAAAATCTACTTGCTACCATAAAGCTAAAATTTATGAGAAGAACCATTAACTGTTTTAACAGATAATGTATTTTCACATGTGAACAATAGTAGGAAATCATAATATAGTATGAAAGTATTAAGCAAGAAAGATAATACTCAGAAGCTAAAAGGAAGATATTAAAAACTTAGTACCAAATCTTAAAGTAATATTATATTTTCTCTTTTGTCATTCTATGATTATATATTTATCTCTTCGTACGAAGTAATCAAATTCACTACTACAACTTTACAGAGTTTGGCTAGATTGTTATATTACCTAAAATACATTAAAATTATTTCTTATGAATAAATGCAATTTTAATTATTCATATTTCTGATAAGGACTATCCCTTTAATTTAAAGAAAATAAAGATAAAATGATGTACCGATTTTCACATATCAAAATGATGTTGAAATTTTGATAGAGTATGAGTATATTTATATATAAATTTTTTGTTTTTGTTATAAATATTGATGTTACCATTTATTAGAATGTAAAACATTTTGGTGTGATAATATCCTGTAGATATCATCACTAATTTATTGAATAGTCATTATTGAAAATATGCCATGAAACTTAATGTTGCACTTACCATTATGATCTATTGAAATAAAATTTCTGATACAGAGTTACAAAATATGAAATTAATCTTACATTATCTAGACTCACTCTGTAATGTTTATGCTCACACAAGGTTATATTTGCTTACAAAACTTACATAAGCCGTTCTTGTATGGACCATATGCAAGTTAGGAAGCTGAAGAAAAAAGTTGGTATCACATTTCACAGGATCCTGGTACAATAAACTATTACTTTTACCCAGAGAATACTTTTATTAATTTTGAACTGATACCACATATGTGAAAAAGTATAAATAAGGGAAACTAGCATATTATAAACTGTGGACATATGTCTATGTTCCAATTCACATTAACAATGACTGAAGTTATATAAAATTTGAAGTTATATCCTTATTGCCTCATACTAATAAAACCACCACCTTCTATATGATGAGAAGAAAATATTAGTTTAATAAGGTATCTCCAAAACATCCTTTTAAATAATATTTGTGTTAACTCATAGAGAATTTTACACATATATAGAATGTATTTTGATCACAACTTCTATGTCATTGCCTTTTGGGATTAGTTTTCTACAATTGCCAAGTGTAACATACTTGTGTTAGCTCTTTCTCCAGACATTTGTGGATTTAGTTGTTAGTTTTTTCATTCATCTAACAAGAGTTCCATAGGACCATTCACCTCCACACGCTACTGTGTTAAGTTTTAACCATTCAAGTATTCATGCTATACTATGTTCAAACTATGAAGAATGTTACAAAGTTACAGGCAGGCATTTAAATAATAATTATAATTTTAGCTAAATGAAGTATAAGTATTGTGTGAGTATTCTTAAACGACTCAACTAATTTTGCTTAAAAAGAGGTAGCACATTCATAGGTAATTAGCAGAAAACAATGAAAATCAAGAGTTGGGTTCCGGCTTTCTGCAGCAGCAGTTCAGTATTACCCAACAACATGCTGAATATGGACTAACAGTTGGGGTGTGTCCTATTTGAAAACATGGATGTCACAGTTAAAGGTTAAGATTGACACAAACTGAAAGAAGTTTGTGATCAGTGCAGTGACATTGCCAGCTTTGTTTTATGGGCACATAAATCTAGGAATGAACTCGTGGGATGGAAAGCTAAAATGTTGGTATTGTTGAAAGAAATATGATAAAGCAGTATAAGGAAGGCCTAAGCCAAGCAGCCAGAGGAAGGGAGGAGAGATATTCAAGAGGTATAGAAGGAGTGGACTCCACAGTAACTGATATGTCTCTGTTGTACTGGCACATGTGATACCTATGTTAGCTCTGAGTGGGAATATTGGAGCATGAAAAGGCCCTGGTTTATATTTTGCAGATTTTGTGATATAAATATTATATTGTAGTTGGCAATTAAATAAACATATGAGGATTAGGAATGCATGCAAGAGATAATTCCCTTTGTTTTCCATTCTGCCTATCAAAGTGAATATTGCTGAAAACAAAACAACCCTTATTTTTACAAAAACTTAAAGGAACAAAAATCCTGAGAATTTACATTCAGCCTTTATTCACCATATTAGTTAGCATTACTGCTCATGTGCAAAAGCTATTTTAAATTCTCCATTATTACAACCATTTTATGTTTCACTTCGATAAATATATGGAGGCAATAAAGAACACATAGAATCAGATCCACATGACAAATTAAAGGCTGTTAAATTTTATTTTTTAAACCAAACTTATCCTCACATTGTAGAAATGCAAAAGAGGAACATTTAGGCATGTACACTGTCTATTTTTATGGTTCACAATACAAAATGATTCAAATAATTCAGACTCAGATTTGTGACAGAAATCACATCACTTTGGCCTTGAGGATATGGGAACTGGACATTCTCTCATTGTGAAATGGTCACATAGACTCAAATTTATTACATATTTTGACAGGGTTTATAACTATAAGTAAGATGACATATGTCCTACAAAGTCCATATGCAAAAGCTAGGCATTCAATTATAATTTTAATTAATATATGAAGTCTTTTTCCAATGAATGTAATTGTAAATCTGCAATTAATATTCAAAATGCTTGGTTACCAGATGTTCAGGCAAAAATGAAGAAGCTAACTCCCATTTACTGGGCATTTTCTCACTGAGTGATTTCATCTTTAACATATCTTCAGAGAAATGTGACCTATGAAACATTTTGTTGAAATAAAATTGTCCTTGTCACTATGAAGTTTGGTTAATATTTAGTTCCACAAGTTTTTCATTTTCAACCATATAATTAACTTCTAGCAATATATTTTCCTTGACTATTTCTAGATTTCAATTTTTCTTCCTTCCGTCCTTACATTCTTCTTTCCTTCCTTCCTCCCTTTCTTCCTTCCTACCTCCCTTCCTTCCTTCCTTTCTCCCTCTCTCTCTCTTTCCCTTTTTTATTTCTTTTTTTCTGCTTTTAAGTAACATAAATGTGTTAAACACACAAAACCAAATAAAATACAATGTGCAAGAGCACTTCCAAAACAAAATATTAAGTATACAATGGTGTGGACATCATTTCTGACAATGCTGCACAGTGAACGACAGAGGTACAAGCACTTCATTTATCTTATGTAGAAATCCGAGTCGTACATACACAGAAAGCATCATTCAGTAAGATTGTCCTTACAGGTCATGTTTGAATCTCACAGGTGTATTTGAAATGCACTCCGTGGGAAATCAGAAAGGACAGAACATCGTCTACAATATACGAAGCCAAGTCCAGGAGGCACTTGAACACTTTTTATGGCCATTTAAATGATTCAGCAGATGCAAACCGAAATCTCTCTTGATATTTGATGGTAAAAGCACCCATAAATATAATGTCTTCATCTTAAGTAACGTAGTTTTCACATGGAATTAAACTAAATATGTTTTTGTTTTCTTTTACTTAAGGTGGTCCAAAAATTGATATCATTCTTATTAATTTGTTTCACCTTATTTCTTCTTCCTGAACTATTCCAAAAAAAAATCACTTTAACATAGAAAGAGTGTTGTTATGGAGGGCAAGGATTTTAACAAATAATACTTTATTGGTACCCTAAATTCTAGTCTTCCAAAGCCACCCCATACCCTGAAGGAACTGACCTTGCCTGACAGTGGCAATGAAGAGATCCAAATCTTGACTGATTTACACTAATAAGGTAAGGGTTTAAAATTGTAGGCATATGAGAGAATCAAGTCACTTTTACTTGTTTTCCCTGCAAAGAAACATTATACTAAACATTGGCTGCAGAATTACTCACATATTCCCAAACATAGTAAGCAGTTACTTAAAAATATATACCATGACTCAGATGGGAGCAACCATTAGCCTAATTTAACTAGTGAATGGGCAGTGCCTAGAATGAACATCAGAGGAGGGAGTGCAACAGTTCTATGTCTGCTGGGCTCCACACCCTATTAGTGCATCAACCCTAGCTTAGGGGCACTGAGGGGAGGAACAGGAATTTATGCTGGATTGAACACCAATGGCTCCCATAGGTTCATATATTTGAATACTAGTTGATGGAACTGC